TTCGAAATTTTTTATTACATTAAGTGCAAACGACTCAGAATCCCTTACACTGTTATGATTAAAAGGCAATCCGAATTTTCCACCCAAACTCAGAAATCTAAGAACGTTATCCGGTACTTCTTTATCCGAATTATTAATTATCCATTTACTACATTTAAAATTGAAAAACCTTTCATATATCTTATTCTGACGATTGAGAAGTAAATCGAGATGTATTTTATTAAGAAATTAAATTTCACAATTAATTTACAAAAAGACACAGAAAGTTTTAGCACTGCGTATGATTGTTTGTTTAGAAATTGATGTAACCTTCAACATACTTATCTTGGCGATGTTATTAAATTTAGTACAGTGTGTTCTGTGAAAGTATGAAGACAAAACGTTAGAAATTGATGTAACCTTCGACATACTTATCTTGGCAATGTTATTAATTTTAGTACAGTGTGTTCTGTCAAAGTATAAAGACAAAAACGTAACTCGATATGTAATTTTATTATTGTGACATAAGCTAAATCTCTCCGAATCATAATTTGCTCTTATATCTTAAAGACGAAATGCTGTAACTCATTGTAAGTCTCAAATTTGCAGTTCCCGTTTTGTTTTAATTAGAGTGTCTGATTGTATTTATATGTTTTAGAAAGTTCTAATTGTATTTTTGAAAAGGACCACAACCCACATGGTCAAAACGTCAAAATAAATTGGTATATTAACAACGCTAATTGAGGCCAGTGTTGTCAGATTAAATCTATAACCTCATATTTTTTTTCTTTTTTAGGAATACCCATTTTTATGATGAGTCCTCTAACATCTTGACAGAAAACAAAATTGTTTTCCTGAGAGAAGAAGGGTAGGAAATATCTTTCTCTTGTGCGGTAGAATGTAATTTTCGTTCCACATTCGAGTACATTCTTATCATTCAATCTAAAAACAATTAATTCAGAAGCTTCTTTTCAAAGGCTGAGATCTCTCATGAGGTCATTTAACTCGTTTTGGTTAAAATGTAAGGACTTAATAAAGATCCAACATAATCACTGTCGTTATTTTGTTGTGCATCATAGGAGGCATGACCGGGAGTAGATTCATCCCTAGAAAGCTCCGGTAATTCGTGAAACATTGGAATTGATACTTCATCCGAGTGAGGAACTGGGCGCCTTGCAGAAGCTAAATTAGAGTAACTCCACTTGCTGCTCAATAATATTATTTTATGAAAAAACGCATTATCACCATGTAAATATATATCATAACAATTCCGCCAGTGACAAAGATTTGGTGCCACAAATTTTGTGCTATATCAGAAAAAATGTATTATTTTATTTTTATATAACATATATAAATTGCCTAAACTTTATCGATATAATGTCAAATTAACATCAGTTTGACTTTTCTGTTCTTGTCGGATACTTCAGGAATCTCTTATTTTCACGTTTGAAAAATTATATTAATTTTAAGTAATATTATCATTTTTTCTGAAAATTTGGTGTTAATATGATGCAAATAGGCATTATATATTAAACAGTCCTATCAATAACAAATAGCGCCATAAATCTTGCTCGCATAATTTCACAAAATTGATTTTATTTCATCTTTTAGCATACTATTAAAATGTTAATATTTAATTGTTTAACAAAATTGATATCTTATGTAGGTGTTAAATATACACATACTTAATATAATGTAAATATACGCATTATATCAACATACCCATCAATACTAAAAATTTGGCGCTATAAAGTTTGTTTGCACTGTTTTGTCAAAATTCTCACTATTCTAGCATTTTAGCATATTATTCAATTATTATTAAATAATTTAACAAAATCAATTATTTTATGCCGATGTTAAATGCGAGTTTGAAATACGTTGCGTTTACAATATTAAATTATCAAAAATTTAATGCTTAAAAAATCTTGTTATTTTCACGAAAATTTGAAAAAGTATGACAAAATAAACTTTAAATATTATTTGTCTAGAAATTAGATGTTAATATAACGTAAGTACGCATTAAAACAACGGTCCCGACAAGAAGAAAAATTTGGCCACGCTTACTCACGCTATTTCGTAAAAATTGAAACTTTTTAGTATATTATTTAAATATTAATATTTAATTATTTAACAAAATTCATATCTTATTTCTCTATATGTGCTACATTATGCATGCTTAATATGGTATAAATATATACGCATTATTGACCTTCCGTTTCCGGTGCGAGGGTGGTGTACACGTGGAGAGTGAGTGTGTAGGTTTGAGGGAGCTTTAGAGAATATAGAGAACAGAGGGAGAGGAAAGGATAGTGTGAAGAGAGAGAGAGGAAGAGAAAATGAGAGAGTGAAAGTGTGGCAAACAAAAATAGATAGAAGGTGGAGGAAAGAGTTAGATAGAGAGATAGCTGACAGCAGATAGTTTGGGTAGGGAGTATAGAATATATATATATAGAGAGAGATGTACGGTAGAAAGAAAGAGCAGATGCTACGGAATAGCTAGTAGCTTTTAGAGAGAGATAAGCAAGGAATAGGGAGAACATAAAGAGAAATTAGAAAGGAAGAAAGGAAAAGCCAAAGAGCAAGAGAATTATAAGTAAGAAAGAAGACAATAGTTTAGAAAAAGATGTTCAGCGGAAAGAAAGAAAGAAGCATGGAAAGTGACCCACACAGCACATGATATCATTCGAATATTCTGTACACATACTGTTAATCTACGCAATATACATAAGATACTGAGAATATCTTTATAATATCTCTTGCAATATATTATTTTTCGTATATTCTTAGAATATATTTTAATATCTCTTACAGTATATTATTATTAGTATATTCGCGTATATTTTCAAGATATACTTTTGAATTACGCAGAATATTCGTTACAGGATGTCGTATGGAGCCATTTGAGTGCAGAGCGTTTTGGCGCGTAAACGTACACGCCACGCGGTTTGTGATAGTGTTTTTTCTATGATAGTGGGTTACCGGTCTTTTTCCTGTGATATCTTGTCGCATGACGGTGTGAAAGTAAGTCTGTATATTTTTATATAATTTTTCGTAAATATAAATCCTTTTCATTTCTTTCAAAATTTATCTTATTTTGTGTAAAATATATTATATATTTCACTAAATATATTATTATATAATTCACTATAAAATATGTTTTACAACTGCAAGTTAACCTTAAAATTAATAATCGGACAGGCCCGATTGCAACAATACATTTTCTTTTGGAACAAAAATATGTATACCTATATCTTATTTATGTTTCTTTCTAAATAAAAAATACATATTTTGGTTTTAAGCAAGACTTAAAGCCAAAATAATGTTGGTGCAATCGACCCTTAAACTTCAGATTTGTTTTATCGTTGTAACGGTTCACCTTTCCCGACGCCGCGGATCGGCTCGCCGGTTCCAGGATTCGGGAGGAAGGGGGAGATTCAGACTCGCTTATTCCTTATTAACAATGCTTTGTTTATTCAAAAGAAACAAGTAAACAAAATATTTGTTGGCATAAGGCCTAAATAGAGAAACTTATTGACTACTCGGTATAAACAAAAATGTTTGTTGGCATAAAGCCTTAAATGGAGAAACTTATTGACTACTCGGTATAAACAAAAATGTTTGTTGGCATAAAGCCTTAAATGGAGAAACTTATTGACTACTCGGTATAAACAAAAATGTTTGTTGGCATAAAGCCTTAAATGGAGAAACTTATTGACTACTCGGTATAAACAAAAATGCGGAGGCGTATAGCCTGTAGCGGTGTCCGGAAAAGATTTACAAATTACCCGGTATAACTTAGAGATACGGTGTACGGAGGCGTATAGCCTATAGCAGGAAGAAACCAGAAACCGGGAAACCCGGCGTAATGACGAGAAACCCGTCACCCGGTGTATAGCAGGAAGAGACCGGAAACCGGGAAACCCGGCGTAACAACGAGAAACCCGTTGCCCGGCGTGTAGCAGGAAGAGACCGGAAACCGGGAAACCCGGCGTAACAACGAGAAACCCGTTGCCCGGCGTGTAGCAGGAAGAGACCGGAAACCGGGAAACCCGGCGTAACAACGAGAAACCCGTTGCCCGGCGTGTAGCAGGAAGAGACCGGAAACCGGGAAACCCGGCGTAATGACGAGAAACCCGTCACCCGGTGTATAGCAGGAAGAGACCGGAAACCGGGAAACCCGGCGTAACAACGAGAAACCCGTTGCCCGATACTAAAGGTAGGAGGCCAGAAACCGAGAAACCCGGCGTAACAACGAGAAGCCCGTTGCCTGGCTAGGAGGTCCGGAACAGGACTGGTGCCGGCTCATCCGTCGAGCCGGCTTATATACCCTGCCGGCGGTTCCCCCACTCTACATCGAGGCTGTGGTGGGGGTAACGCCGGCGTCGTAGTGGGGGCCTCTGGGGGTTGTAGTGGGGCGCCCCTGGGGTAGGGTGACCCGTGTATCGCTTATGTTTGTGCGTTTAGGGGCGCCTTAGGCGCCATAGCCTCAAGTGGCGGGCGGGTGATCGGCCCGCGAGGCGTTAGTAACGGCCACGCCGTTACATCGTGAACTTACATTTTACATTTTATATACTTTATTTTTAGTCTAATCTATTTTATTTCTCATTGCATTCCTGTTCCTTAATATACATGCATATTATTTTGGTACATTTATTCTAATATTAGCCTTTTTGTATATTGATGATGATGTACCAAAATATGTCTTTGATGCATTTATCAAAGTATAATACAATTAAACGATAGAGGAAGCTAATATATAATAAAGTAAAATGTGATAAAAGTAATAGAAATCATATATATTGTATATGTGTATATTCATATAATTCTTTTTCTTAGTTTTAATTTTGTTACAGCGTTGCAAGAAAATATTATCGCAGCTTTATATTCATATACACAACAGTAGTGTGTTCTTTACAGTAGTGCGACAAAGAAATAGGTATTATATTTTATAATTTATAATTATAGTTTCTTTTTCTTATTTGTAATTTTTATTTTGTTACAGCATTGTCACAAAAAAATATTGAGACTAATATATTGGGGATCGCTTTATTTATCTGCATTATTTTAAAAAAGTCTGCATCATTCTAGAAAAGTTTGTTCTCTACGCATAGCTCGTGGAACACACAGTAAGAAGTAAGTATAATCATATTTCTTTCTTTTTTTTTTACTTTGATTTATTTTTCATGATTATTATATATTTGTATTTTGGCACGCCTTTGATCGTATTTCAATATCAACGTAGCACATATGTAGAATGTTCGATTTAGATATGAAATTATTTTCATTATTATATTATATTTATAAACCTTTGAAATCTCATTAAATCTAAACATTACCAAATTCCTTAATTGATTTAAATATGTAGAATATGTATATATAAAAATATACAAATATATAATTTTATGCCGATTTAGAAATATCTCTCTTATAAAGAGAGAGATTTAATGATTTAAAAAGTATAAATTAACAAAATATTTTATGTGTCTCCAGCATTCTACATTTGTATTGCACATATTAAGTCGAGATACAATTTTATACATACTTCAATTGAAAAAACATATGTATATATTAATTGGTTAAAATCATATTGATATATTGAGTAAGTAAATAGTTAATCATTTGATTAAGTATACAGGATATTTGATTTTACATTATGCAGCCGATTATCTTGAAAATAAAAGATTTTCAGGAAAAATATTTCGAACAAAACTTTTGTAACTTCGAAGAAGACATAAGATGGTGTCATTGGTTTGTCTTGGATAATGATTTGAAGGTCATCTTCAATTTCTTAATAGAACATTTTTTCATATTCTTGTAGCCCATCTCGAAAACACTATGTAACGGCTTAATGCAAATTCATCATTTTTTTAAAGACAACTACATGTTTTTTTTACATCAATTAGTCTCCTTATTCTATGCATTAAAGTATTAAGGTAAGATTTTCGAAAACTGAATGGTTTATACAATATTTTGTAATTTATGTAAAAAAGTTAGAATTAGAAGCCTTATAACTCGAAAAGTTAATGAAAAAGTATTTTATTTTAGTATTTTGGAAAGCTCTCGAGATAGGCTACAAGAATATGCAAAGAAAAATAGTGTTCCATTTGGGATATTAAATGTGATCTTTATGTAACCTTCAAACAACTATGCAAGGTCAAATAACACCATCTTATGTTTCCCTTAAAGTTATAAAACTTTTGTATAAAACATTTTTCCCAAAAATATTTTATTTTTAAGTTAATCGACTATATAATTTAAAATTTAACACCCTGTATATTATTTACATATACTTTTATCTTTGTAATAATCTTTGTAATAACGCAATATCAATAATGTGATATATATAATAATGAAACATAATATTGAATAATCAAATAATATTATTAAAAATTAAATAAGATAAAGTAATTAATTTAAACAACAAAATGAAATGATAATTAAGCTAATAATCTATTTAACAATTAACATTTAGAATCTATTTTAACAGAAATGAATCGCAAACGGCCGAGAAAAGATATTTTTTATATATCAAAACGACCTCTCAATAGAGTAGCTACAGAAGAATTAGAACTTATAAGTGATAATTTGCTAAGTACGACTGCAATATCTTTATCTTCATCACATAGTGATGATTATATGTGCTCAAAATATTTGGAAAATAAGTCCACATTTAAATCAGATACAATAAATAAATGTAATAAGATAATTCCATCTCAAAATGATACTAATAGTTGGAACAAGAATAATATATCTGGAAATGACATAGACAATTAAACAAATATGAATCAAAATCATCACAAGCTTCTGGAAGTACTTCTACTACAGCTTGTGTGACCTTTGTAAATACAAATACAACAGACAGCAAAAATATAAATACAATAGACATTTTTAACAATGATTTTGCTGCCTGGGCCGTAGAGCATCAGATATCACATACTGCTTTTAATGCATTACTTAAAAGATTAAGACAACATTCTTGTTTTTCGAAATTATAAACTGATGCACGATCACTTCTAAAAACGCCAAGAAAACAAGAGATACGTATAGTAAACCCAGGAATATATTACCATTTTGGGTTACTTAATTCTGTATTTAATATATTGACATCCACGAAAAATGATATTAATTGTGTAAAAGTTATTATAAATATTGATGGGTTACCACTAGCGAAATCATCAACACAACAATTTTGGCCCTTATTAGGTTCGGTTGTTCCATAGGATAATGTTTTTATAATTGGAATTTATTATGGAGATGAAAAACCAGCCGATGTCAACGATTTTTTTAAAGATTTTGTTAATGAGGCTAAAGAAATGTGTGAAGATGGAATTTACTTTAATGGTCGTAACGTACAATGTAGAATTGAAGCTTTAGTATGTGACACACCAGCAAAAGCATTCGTTCTCTGCGTGAAAGGACATGCGGGATATTCCAGTTGTACCAAGTGCACAACCGAAGGAGATTATATAAAAGGGCGATTATGTTTTCCAGAGACAAATGCACCACTTAGATCAGATAGTGATTTTATACAGAAAATTGATGATAGTTATCACAAGCCTAATATTACATGCAGCTTATTAGAAGTACCTCATTTCAAGCCTGTCACAAATGTCCCGTTGGATTACATGCACTTGGTATGTTTAGGAATTATGCGTAAATTAATGTACCTATGGCTTCATGGAGAATTACATTATTGACTACCACTTAAAGCCGTTGAAGATATATCTGTACGTTTGGTAACACAATTAAAACCATCAATACCAATAGAATTCGCAAGAAAACCACAAAAGCTAGATTATTTAATATTATGGAAAGCTACGGAATACAGATTAATATTATTATATACAGGTCCAGCAGCATTCAAATCAATATTAAAGAAAAAGATATATTAATTTTCTAACATTACACGTGATTATCAGAATCTTGTCTTCAAAAGATTTACATAAATATTTAAACTATGCGCAAGATTTGATTTTCTTTTTCATAAAAACATTTGAAGAATTATATGGCGTTCAGAACATATCACATAATGTTTATAATCTCGTGCATCTCGTAGACAATGTTAAAAAATTTCACTTGATAATTTTAGTGCTTTCAAATTTGAAAACCATATGCAAATATTAAAGAAATTAATTAGAAAATCAGAAAAACCTTTACAAGTCATACGGAGATGTATTGAAAAAGAAATCAACTCACATACAATATTATCATCAAATAAGAACGTAAATATTTGAGAATCGCCAGAGAGAATTTAAAAAAGGTAAAAATCTTCTCTCGACCGTACTGGCAAATATTATTTATTCAATCACAACGTTTCGACCCTTCTTTGAGTCCTTATCAAGTGATCTAGATATACATAGACCGAGATTAGTACATTAAAAAAATAAAATTACTTCACTAACAATATTACAAAATGATAAAAAGAAAAAGAAGCGAGACTTACTTGTAAAATTAAAAATAAAATTATAATTCTAAGATGTCAAGAACGAACATAGTGTCGGTTTGACAACACGTCAAGACTCTTAGACGAGTTATTGGAGACTAAACGACCTTTATTATTGTGTCGTAGATATTACTTAGATTGTCAGTATCCTTTTGTAAATTAATAGCGTTATTATTTCCCTTAATAAAGAACATTTCAGCGATTTCTCTTTTTCTTACGTGTTTTTCACTATGCAAGATAACAAGTGAAGTCCAGTCAAAATCGTGATCGAATTCAATTTTATGTTTGCTGATAACTGATAAATTACTCGAATGCATTTTGATGTTGCTGAAATGTTCCTTTACACGTGTACACAGATGTCTTTTTGTTTGTCCGATGTATGACACGTTGCAATCCCTACAATTAATTTTGTAAACTACTTCAGTTTTTTTATCTGTAGGCAGTCTATCCTTGCCGAGTGTGATCAAATGATTCGGCTTTTTAGGAACATTATGAACAACATTAAATCCGATATTTTTAAAAATTCGATTGACATCGCCTAAGCTATTAACATAAGGTAGTGAAATGAAAGGAGAATTATCAACAATATTTCGCTCATTACTCGATTCATTCATGTTTCTATGTTTTAAAAAATTAATCCTTTTTTTAACCCAACGATCGATTACATGTTTAGGAAAGCAGTTATTAAACAAAATTTGTTTCACGATATTAATATTCTCGTCGTGAAACTGGTCATTAGATAAAAGAATCGCGTGATCTACAAGATTAAAGATTGTGTTCATTTTATATTTAAAAGGGTGGTTGGAAAAGAAATTTATATATCTGTTCGAACACGTTTCTTTCCTGTACCAATTTGTTACAAGCTTTCCACTTGACCGAGAGATCGTTGTATTCAAAAAATTAAGACATTTTTGGAAAAGGAAGACTTATTCACAGTTCCTTGTTTATCTACAATGCTTGGAATTTATTGTGTACATTTACAATCAGAATTGAAATCATGGCCATTAAAAGATGTAATTAGAAAATATATAAAGTTACCATATCAAGATGACAAATATGCAGTTTTACCACTCCTCCATGGTTTTATATAATACATTTATTTATATACAGAATGGCACAAGAAAAATTTTATGCCGTTGTTGAATTTGAGGATGGGCTTCAAATTGTTCCAAATAATTGGTTGAATTCGAATTTAAACAAGGCTGTTTGGCCAAATTTCACTAACAACAAGCGTTACTATAAGGCTGTGAAATTTATGGAAAACCCAGAACCTACATGGATAGAACATCCAATTCGGAAAATCTATGCAAAAGACAGTAAGCAATCATCATATTCTTTTTTTTAATATATATGCAATGATTTTAAAATATATGTATATAATTTCTTGCATACAACATGTGGAGAGAAAGAGAAGAGAGAGAGAGAGAGAGAGAGAGAGAGAGAGAGAGAGTTGCCATCATTCAGAACGCGGTTTTATTGATAGCAATGTATGTAATTAGCATATAGTTCACGTTAACATTTATATTATAAAATTTCAAAACTATAAAATACTCTTATTTATTGATAAAAAGCGCGTTTTGAATATGCACTATAAATATTAAAATATATATAAATATATATAGAGTGTCTCAGAATAACCCTATCAATGCTTAAAGGCGGATTCTCTAACCAATTTGGAGATGATTTTCCTAGCAAAAATGTTGAGAAATCAAGAATTTTCGAGTTATAAGCAATTGAAAAAACGGATTTTTCACAAACTTTGTGGAGTTAAAAGGTTAACATAATTATATTCTTCAGTCAATTCCAGATGGAGTTTACTTTAATAAAATTTTAATTTAAGGTTGTTACAAAGAAACATAATGACAAAAATTGGAACTTTGCAAAAAATGATGACCTTGATCCGTCTTGAAGCATTGATACAATTATACTAAGACACCCTGTATAATATTAATAGATATTTTTAAATAATACAATGAAGCAATTATTAACAAAATGTATATTATTTTTTTCAGCAAACTATGAATTAGCAAGAAGAAAATTAAAAGATGCTGAAGAACTATCAGATATCAATTCTGGTACTGACAAAGAGGAAGTATTAAAAAAAAAAACAAGAAAATATAGAGCTGCTAAGCAATTTGATGAAACTTCTATATTAAATAGTGATGATGAATGCGACGAAAATTCATTTATTTTGCAGCTTCCAAAATGCCTGTTAGGCCTGTACATACCTCTGAAAAAATGAAAAAGGCAAAATTGTCACAGAAAGGTGAAAGCATAAAAAATTATATTAATAGTCAGAAGAATAATATTAAGAAAAAGAATAATATTGAAAAATTTTAATAATTAATAGTGTGTAGGCGAGTGATGGGGTTTTTTCTTTTCTTTTTAGAAAGGATAATCTTCTGGATCGGGAGATTGTATTGTATAGTCAGGATAGATCAAGTCTGAATATTTATTCCAACGTTAAGCATGTATATGTACACTATTATTGCGAAACTTATACGTCTTCAAGTCGTGCCGTGAACGATTTCAATCCTTCCGAGCTGGGAGTTCCAATTTCGCCGTCCGTTCCGAGTTAAAGAGAAGAAGTCTTTTCGGATGTTTAAGAGAAGATCTGACTCAAGATGTTCAAGCTGGAGAAACCTCTGACGATTCCCAAAAGTCGGCATATATATATACCCGGCGTTAAAACCTTTCCCACCCGAAATATCGGACCAATCAGTGTTACCTTCGTTTATCGAGCAGAGATGTGTTTTCGGTTTCTCTGATAGACAAAGGATCGTTCAGAACGCTCTCGAAAATAAATAATACCTGATACGAGGTCGACAAACAAAACACGGAGATCCGATAATCTCTTTGTCAAACAAAGTTTCTCTACCTCTCTTATGAGAGTTTATAAAAAATGCCCACAAGTGCATAATTCTAATAATAATAAAATATTAGTTTAAAGCTGCAAATTTTAATTATGTAAAACAATAAAGAAAACTAACTTTTTTGTTTAGAATTAACAGTGAAACATAAAAACTCATAATCAACATTGGACAGATATGATTGCAACTACAATGTAAAAGGTATATATATGTTTACAAAGTAAAGAAGCAAGAAATATAAATTATGCATTTTATTATATTTTTCTTCTTTTTTTATACTATTATATAACTGTAATTTAATATGATATAAATGGAATTTTAAATATATAAAAACCTAGCATATAATGTACATAATAATAAATGCATAATTTAAATAAATCAAATTATTTTATATTATATGGCACACACACATTTGTAGATATAATATAAAGAATTAAATGACTAAATTAAATACATAATATTTTTGGTTACAATATTAAAATTACATTTAAATATAGCAATAAAATAATTTTTTAGATATACCTAAACCTAGTACATCTAAAAAGATACATGCAGATGATAAAGATGATGTAGATAATGACGTAAATGATGAAGATTATGTAGATGATGAAGATGATGTTAATGATGAGCCCGATATACTCTCGGAACAATTATCTGGAACGAATCTAAATGAGGATAATGATGAGATAAAAGGAGAAGAAGTCATTCAAATGAGGAACAATACCAACTCAACTTTGTCAAAATCAACTTTGAATTATTATCAAGGTACTAAAACTATAATCTTCAGTTATGTATGTGCACTCGACAAATTATGAAAGATATGGAAAAACATTTGAAACAGTTGTAAGATTTCAAAGGAAATAATATAATACCGTATCATCTTATATATATATATGTGTGTGTATACAATATATATATATATATATATAATACACATACATATACATATATACATATATATATGCTGAGTGCGTGCGCAACTGTATACAAAACCTATTTTCCTAGATATTTATAAATTGTTTTAAATATTGTATTTTACAGCATCTCACAAAGCATTCCAAAGATTTGTAATAAGAAAATTAATAAACTTAGAATTAAAATAAATTCTATTGAAAGGAATCAAAAACTTCTTTTAGAGAAGTTTTCAATTGCTAATTTCATGGAAGAAAGACTGTGGATATTTTCAAGATTTACCGTTTAAAAATCGAGATGATCTTCAGGCAGTGGAGATAAAATTAAATAATGACTCACTTTATCGAAATCAGATGGTAAGTCAAATTTTTTATTATTTCAATTTTATAAAATGTCTTTCAAAAAAAGAAAGAACAGCTTAGTAGAAAAAATAAATATATTGTACGATTAATTAAAAAAAAATAGATGAAATAAAACAATTAGTATATAAGGTTAAAAAATTTAAGTGCACAGAGCACCGGTGTTTCTTGGATATACCAAAACTAAACGCGATTTGCGATCTCGATTCGAGATTCTAACGAACGAACGAACCTAACGAGTTTCGTTTGTCCATTAGAATCTCAAATTGAGATCGCGAATTGCGTTTAGTCTTTGTATATCTAAGAAACACCGTGCCTTGTGTGCACATAAAATTAAGTTTCGTAAAAATCTTAAATTTCAACGAAATTCACGCACTACCAACCGCGTATAGTCTCTGTATTGCTTCGTTTTTTTACATATTTTAACAAATAATTACTTAGAATAAATTTTATATTAATGTACAAAGTATTTTATATAGAATACTTTAAAAATATTTTACAATATATTCCACATTAATACATTGTTATACAAATATAATCTTTGTAAAATTTTTATAACGCACTTTTCATAATTTTTAGACAAACTGACTCATGTGACAAGTCAAGATGTAAAAACTTCTTCTTTACGGATAATGAAGAAATTGTTTTCTAATGAATTAGCAGTGCAATACAGTTGGTATGGAGCAAAAAAAAAAAAGAATTTTTCGCAGTTAAATATCTGCAAAATAATCATGTGTAAGTAATAAAACTCATCTTTAAAAAGGTAAAAAGGCGACCAGTTTAATTACACCATTAACAAAAATTACATTGCAAAAATTAAATTATTTTATGAAGTGAATAAAGATAAATAATTCACATATGACGAATATCATTTTAATAATATTTAATATTATTTATTTTATTGTCATGAAGCAAAAGAAATATATAAAAGTTGAACAGTTTTAAAGATTTTATAGTTTTAATATTTTAATATTCTAAATTAACATCTAATATATTCTCTCAATTTTATTATAAAAAATTTATTTTTTCAAATGTTTTTTTTAGGTGTAATAAGAAAGTAAAAGATGCTCTACAGACGAACAAATTTCTAATCCCATAAAATATGGCTAGCACACGCGAAATAACCCTGCACACAAGCAAACACCCGATAATATTTAATGTTTGTCTTTATCAGGAGACGCGGTAGTGTCTCCGGCCATGTTCAAACCCTAAAAGACCTTAAAAGACACTACAAGTCTCCTTATCCTGCACCATCAAAGTCCATTTTTGGGGTGTAGAACTACTAAAATATAAAAAATTTTGAATTGCACGTAACATAACCTGAAAGGCGGCATCGCCACGAGTAATTTGAGCCAAGAAAAAATAAAATCGGTCAAGCCGTTCTGAGATACAAGCGGTCAAAAAGTGACGTTTTTCATGAAATTAAGAAACGTCGTCTTCTTCTTCTTCTTTCTTTCTTCTTCTTCTTCTTCTTCTTCTTCTCTTCTTCTTCTCTGTCCGCGTATAAATCTCTTCTCACCTTTCACTCACACCTCCCTCAACTTCCACCCACTCCTTTCCCTCCCACATTCCGCCCCCACCACCCTCCCACCCCACCCCACCCCCCCCCCCACCCCACCCCCACCCCCACTCCCTCCCCTCTTTCGCCTTTTTCACACCTCTTTCGTCCTCTCTCCCCTCTTTCACCCTTTTTTCGCTTTTTCGCCCTCTCTCACCCTCTTTCGTCCTCTTTCACTCTCTTTATCTCTCTCAGCCTCTTTCACCCTCTTTCATTCCCTCTCACCCCCTTCGTCTCTTTCACACCCTCTTTCGTCCTCTTTCCGTCTCTTTCATTTCATTCACCCTCTTTCATTCCCCGCTCCCCTCTTCGTCCTCTTTCACCCTCTTTCGTCCTCTTTCACCCTCTTTCTTCTCTCCTCACACCCTCTTTCGTCTTCTCCTCACCCCTCTTTCATTCTCTCTCACCCTCTTTCACCCTGTTTCGTCTTCTTCATTCACACCCTCTTTCATTCCCTCTCACCCTCTTTCGTCCTCTTTCACACCCTTTTCGTCCTCTTTCACTCTCTTTCGTCCTCTCTCTCTCACCCTTCATTCTTTCTCTTTCTCACCCTCTTTTTACCCTCTTTCGTCCTCTTTCATTCACCTTCTTTCACTCTCTTTCGTCTCTCTCACCCTCTTTCATTCTTTCTCACCCTCTTTCGCTCCTCTTTCACCTTCTTTCACTCTCTTTTCGTCCTCTCTCACCCTCTTTCGTCTTTCTCACCCTCTTTCGCCTCTCTCATCCTCTTCTTTCGACCTCTTTCACACTCTTTCGTCCTCTCTCACCCTCTTTCGTCCTCTTCTCACACCCTCTCTCACCTTTTTTCACCCTCGTACGTCCTTTCTCACCCTTTTTCGTTCTCTTTCCACCCTCTTTCGCCTATCTCGTCTTCTCTTACCCTCATTCGTCCTCTCTCACCCTATCTCCAAAAAATCATAAAAATGAAAAGGTCAAGCCATGTTCAAAAGAAGGTCCTCAAAAATTTAAACCTAGTCTGTACAATGAAAAATAATTACTCGTAATTCCAGAGTTCCAATTTGTTAATATCGAATAATGTATTTGTTTCAAGTAATGGCAGTAGAGTCAAATACATACCTACGTATATGCAGTTTTTGCTGTTAATTGTACTTGAACGAAAAAAATAATTAAATGATTTAAATATAGCACATTTTAAATCAAGAAACTTATATAATCGAACTCTGTTTAGGAAAAGGTAGAACATTTCATTTGCCTCTGCCTTTACAAGAAACATTGGATAAGGTATGTCCTCCGGAAGATCCTATAAATTTGAATCACGAGTTGCACATTCTCGTTCGAGGTATACCCAAGAAATCTAAAGTGGTTTGGGAAAATTTGGTAGATATTAATAAAATGTATAAGGCTTTACAATGGTTGAAAGAAAATAATCCTCATTACTCAAAAATTCGTCTTCCAGCGTCATCTGATGATCTATTAAAGGATAAGTTGCAGGAAACAGAATATAGGATTGTCGATGAGGAAAGCGACAATGACGAAATAAATGAGGTGGTTGAGGAATTACCAGCATTGAATTTGTACAATGTACAGCAAAACAAAATAATAATGATCAAACCGTTTTAAAACGTACGGCTTTTCTCACACAAATCACTGAACATTCGGATATTAACGATCAGTATACAATATACCCAATACACGCGAAAAGAATCGATAACGAATCTGCATTGAAGCTTTATCAAATGGTGAAAATTGAAGATTTTCCAATGGATAATCGTTATAAATATCTGGATGTCATGTGTTTCCCTGATTTATATCCTGATGGTGTCAATGGACAACGAGAAGATAGAAACTTTGCATTGCCGGAATATTTATTTATTAGAACACGATTGATGTCGAAACATAGTAGATTCAGGTTGAATCTGCAGTATCTGTTCTTCCTTCTCAATGATGCTAACTACCGACAGTTGAAAAGTGGTATCTATTATACGATGATGGTTACTAACCCACGAGAGAGATACACTGCTGGTAGATACTTGAACGAATTGAAAGGTTACCAATTAGAATCGAATTTAATGAGTATTTTCGCAAAATTGAGAAATACGGATCAATTTTGGCGACAACCGTCCAATAATGTAAAATGCATGACTTTGCATTACGGTCCAGCGACGTGGTTTTTGACTTTGAGTCCTAGTGAATGGAAATGGTCCGATTTGGGTGAATATTTACGAGATATGAATCCCGATAAAGAGAAGTTAAGCGAACTAATCGCATACGATCTGTAAGTACTTCTAGATTCATGTGCATAAAATTCAAAGCCATGATTGATTTTATTTGTTCGTCCGATAATCCAATAGGAAAGGTTATTCATTACTTCTGGCGACTGGAATATCAACGTAGAAGTATCCAGCACATGCATTGTATGATTTGGATAAAAGATGCTCCAGTATTAGGAAAATCGCCGGATGAAGAAGTTGCTACGTTTATTCAAAAATACGTAACGTGTGAAATTCCAGATGAAAATGTTTCGCCAACGTTGTACGATACGGTAATAAGTGATCAGAATCATAAACATAACTCGTATTGCATGCGTACGAAAAAAACGGAAACTAATATATACAGAAAGTGTCGGTTCGATTTTCCTCGGCCAGTTACTGAGAATTTCGTTTTAAGAGACGTTATCACTTCGATAGTCGGTAGAAAAAATTTACGCAGTAAGAGCAGATTGTACGATCTTCCTCGCAAGGAGTCGGAAAGGTTTATAAATGATTATAATCCGTCTATCAAATTAGCCTGGGAGGGAAATATGGACATACAATTTATTAGAGAAAAATCAGAGTTTTTAAACTCATATTTAACAAAATACACGACAAAGTCGGAAAAATGCAATACAGACTTTGAAGTGATAGATTCGAATAAGTCCTTGGCATCGAAACTGTGGAATTTTGCAATGCGTTCATTAAATAACAGAGATGCGGTGCTTTAGAAGCTGCGGATACACTATTAGGGAATCCCTTGTACGGTACGGATAATGATACCATGGTCAAATGGATCGATGTTAATGAGGTGAGAAATAGAAAAGTTAAAACATTTAATGAAATTTAAGCTCTCGATGAAAATTCTACGAATATTTACTGTTCGTCACTCATCGATGATTACTATCCAAATAGACCTCAGGAATTAGAATCATTGAATTTGTACGATTTTGCCAGATTCTGGGAAATTACGAAACAGATGTCAAATAATGACGAAGTCAAGTGTTACAAACTGGCATCGGGTTTATTTTTAAAAAAACGAAAAAAGGGTTATTTAATTAACCATTATCGATTTAATATAAAAACTGAGCCCGAAAAATACTTTTACTCGCTGCTTCTTCTGTTCAAACCATGGAGAGATTTGAGTGAACTCAAAGGTACATTCGAGACTTACACGGATGCCTTTAAGAATTCAGAGTCTGTTTTAACGAAGGCAATGAAATATCACGAAAGGCTCGAAGAAATACAGAAAGCTTTTGAGAACGTTGCTGAATTAATCGAGAAGCGCGAAAATGATCTGAAAACAGCAGACAGAGACAAATCCGATGACGATGAACTGGATTGTAATCCGATAGAAGCTGACGACGCGATGAAAGATCTGGAAGATTTTGGTAAGATTGACGACCCGATTGATTTATCGCAAATGATGTCGCAATTGAACAAGACCAGAAAAGAGTCTTTGATGGAGTATGCCAAGTTTTACAAGATAAGAATCAGATTCTGCGACTGTACGTAAGTGGCGAGGGTGGTACAGGGAAAAGTTTTCTAATTGAAACGATTAAACATTGGATCAGAATAAATTTGGAAAAAACGACTGCCATATCTGCTCCCACGGGTATCGCAGCATTCAATATCGATGGCTTGACAATCCATAGAATGTTTCAACTACCGGTTAGTCATGAATCTACACCAAAATATACGCAATTGTCAGACATGGTCTTGAAAACTTTGAGAGACAAATTAAAGAATGTCGAATTATTTATAATCGAAGGAATTACATGTAACAATGCAATGATGGATTTAGGAACGACTGTATTCAGTGATGGTCAAGCCTATGTAGGTTTGTCACGAGTAAGTAAATTGGAAGGCCTACATTTGATAAATTTCAATCCAGCATCAGTTAAAGCAAACTCGAGAGCCATTGTAGAATATAATCGACTGAGATCTATATTCAAATCTGAACTGCCACAAATCAATCCGTCCGAGAAAAAGGTTGTGAAAATGTACGATCGTCGATGGGATATCCCTAATATCATTGATGATATGCAGAATTATGATTGTGAGGAACCAGAAAGTATAGTTACGTGGAAATATATGGCCTTTGCAATAACGATGCTGTTTCGTGTTACGCTAATGTAATATTACAATGTGCGTTTCATTGCGTACGTATTAGGCAACAAATACTGAAAAATAAAGCATCGAATGCATTGATTGATGCTATCTGCGCGTATGGTGAACGTAAATATTGCAACATTCAAGCGGTTAGAAGATCTGTCGGAAAACGCTTCGAAGAACGAACACAACAAGATGTTTCGGAATTTTTTACGGCTCTAATGTCGACGTATTCCGACATCAATGATGTATTAAAACTCGAATTAAAGCACGTAACATGTTGCTCGAATGTCAAATGTAATTACAATGTAACTAAGCTGGAAAGCAGTAGTTTGTTAATATTACCTATACATTCGACATTAAAAAGGAAAAAAGGTGTCACTCTACAAAGTTTGATTAATGTAGAATTTTCTAAATGGGAAACGATAAACGGCAATTGTAACGAATGTAAGGGCACCGTGTTGAAAAAGAAAACCGTAATCGAATCAACTTTATCCGTCGTAGTAATACAGCTCAATTTATATACTTTTGTAAACGGTGCTTCTAAAAAAATTATCAACAATCGGATTACCGCCGTGCCGACGAGTAATATCACGATTAATAAAAAAAAGTACAAGCTAATAAGCGCTATATTTCACGAAGGTGAAGAAATGAATCGTGGTCACTACACGTGTATGTTGAGAGCTGACACAAAATCGGAATGGTATTACTCTAATGATATGGAAGTGTTCAAGAAAAAATGGCCCAAAGGAGCACAAGGGGCATACATATTGTTCTTAGAACAGATTAAATAATGGCGCTGTATAAAGGCTGCCGTAAACGCTACATTAAAACATCAACTGTTCTAGCGCTGTATAAAAGTTGCCGTAAGCGCCAAAATAAAATATCGGCTGCTCTGGCGCTTTATAAAAGCTGCTGTAAGCGCTGCATTAAAACGAGTGCAATAAGTTTCTAATTTGACCTAGGCTTCATGACATTTCAAAAAGTATCATCAAGAAAAAAATTATCAGACAGAAATATGTATGTCGTGTTAAAATCGGAGAGACGAAGAAAAATATATGGTTGCGTTCTCACGAGAATGGGCGATGGAGGGGCCCATTCTTTATTTTCAATATTCATACAAGAATATAAATTCATTCTGTTGCAATTGAAATAAATGTGCAATGTATCGTTAAAAGTTATTACAATTATACAAACATTTACATATATGATTAAATAAAATATATATGTATACTATAATATATTATATATTTTATATATGTACATATATACCATATATTTCAATTATTTTGAACTGTATTGCATAAATTGTTACTTATACAAAGTTATGTGATAAGAATCGAAAATACATATATTTGTGATACTTGAATTACTAGAAAGCTGCTCTATATATCTGTACTTTAAAAAGTAAGTGATATCCTAAAAAAATCATAAAAATGAAAAGGTCAGGCCATGTTCAAAAGAAGGTACTCAAAAATTTAAACGATCTAATAATAAATTATCACGAAAAGTAACTGATGTTATTCAAGGTGCCAGTTCAAAGTGAACATACGTAAAGTGTATATTATCTAAATTTAGTAATAATATATTACCATGAAAAGTAACTGTGATATTTTATTCAAGGTGCAAGTTCACATTGAATATACATACATATAAGTAAAACTGATTACAATTTGATTCTAGAAAATAAGTGCGATATGTTATTCTTAGTGCACAAAATATAATAGTCGTTTATAGAGATTTGATTTGAAATTCATACTAGCCCGTACAATGAAAAATAATTGCTCGTAATTCCAGAGTACCAATTTGTTAATGACTCAGAAAAATAACATGGCGGCCTGCTCTCAAAAAACTATGATGTTTCTCGATGTCCATTTAGAAATAATGTCGAAGCTCTTACAGAATAATTACTACAACATTTGAAATACGAAAAGTATTACATTAGAAGAAGATTAGATTAGAATAAGGATTCACGTATTTTTAAAAGCTCTACACACAACGAAGTAATATACAAAACTATCATACAAATATTTTTCTTCTGTGTTCTGAAGAAATATGTAAGTCAATGAAAATTGCAATTGAGAACCATGTCATTATTTTCAGATTCAATTGATAATTCATTTTTTTGTATTATATAATTTTAATGATATTATTTTCACTTATACTGATAATAATATGTATTTTTTATATGTATATTACCAAATAATCATATATTTTAACGTATAGCATTTATTGTACTTATGAGAACTGTATTTATAAATTTTACTTAATATACACCCGTTTCGAGAAAAGGCAAAGTTTTCTGATATAACTTACTCTGAAAATAAGTATAAAAAATCAGTTGATACGAAAATTCCTAATTTTAAAAGAAAGATTGGATGTTTTTAATTTATAAATTTTCACGAATCTAATAATTATTTATTCACCCATGTAAGTTTTTTGTGAGCAAGGCCGTAAAGTGTATTTTTCTAAAGTTATTAACAAATTAGTACCTGGAATTACTGAGAATTATTTTTCATTGTACAAGCTAGTATGAATTTCATATCAAATACTATAAAACTATTATATTTTGTTCTAAGAATAACATATGCACTTAGTTTTATAGAATCAATTTGTAATCAGTTTTACTTATATGTAATGCTAAATTCAATGTGAACTTGCACCTTGAATAAAATATCACAGCGGCCTTCTCAAAAACTATGATTTTTACTCCATTTAGAAATAATGTCGAAGCTCTTACAGAATTACTACAACATTTGAAATACGAAACATTAGAATAAGATTAGATTAGAATAAGGATTCAACGTATTATTAAAAGATCACACAAACGAAGTGAATATACAAAACTATATACAAATACAAAGACCTTTTCATTTTTATGATTTTTTTAGGATCTTCTTTTTCTTCCTACTTTACCGATCTTCTGCTAACGTTGCACTTCCTCTCCCACATCTCTCCGCGTCCTTCTTTCTTCATCTTCTTTTTCCACTTTTCACTTCATCAACCTACTTTCTTTAACCTCCTTTCTTTTTCCTTCTCCTTTTCCTTGCACCCTCATTCCGCTTCACTCTTTTTCCTCTCCTTTGCCGTGTGTTTCTCCGTATTCGCCACGTGTCCACTGTTCCACAGCATTCCTTTACGACTCTTACTCCAGCTTTTGTCCTCCTTTTCTCGTCTTTCTATACTTCCTTTACTTTTTCTCCTTTTCTTCACGCATTCCTCGTTCCTCACTTTTCACTTTCTGCCACTTTAAATCTTCTTCTTCACTTCCACCTTCCACCACTTTACAAACTGGAACATCAAAAACTCCGTTTTCTTACTTTCCGCCAATTTTCCTTTCTTTATATAGCTTGATAGATATAGCCATATTTTTGTCACATTCACAGTACCATTATAAAAACAAAATAGACATTTTACTAAAAAATGGGTATCCTCCGTCTTTTATGTTTAAGCATGTTGAGGTCAGAATAAAAAACTAATATATACAAAGTTAGATCATAATAATATTGATAATAACCAATCTAATAAAAAAACAAAAATTATAGCAATTCCGTACATAAAAAATTAAACTTAACACATCAGCAATTCTTTCCGGATTGTAGAATTTATTAAGAAATATAAATGTTTTAATAAATTTCATAATATTATAAAAGTACATAAAAGTGCCACTCCAAAAGAATCTAACAATAACGTAATATATAAAATCGAATGTAAAGACTGCTCGGCTTTTTATGTAGAACAGATAAAAAGGTAGTTACAGACTAGATTAAAGAAGCATAAGTCTAATTTAAAACAAAATGAGACAAAACACACAGTAGTGTCCCAATATATTACAGAAACGGATCACGATATCGATTGGAAAAATCCAAAAATTATAGTCCATGAAAAGAATTATTTTAAAAGATTGATCTCTGAAACTATCTATATTAAACGACAATCTAATGGTTTAAATGCAACAAAAGACAGTAAATATTTGGATCCATCCTATTTTCCGTTACTTGAATCTATTTTTAACAAAACAAACACGAAAAAAACTTGTTTGTTATTGCTTCCTCAACTCGGTTTATTTCTCGGGTATAAAAATAGTCTTTTAATAATTGTTGTCAATGTTTGTTTCACAACACAGCAGTTAATATTAAGAAAACATGTGTATTATACTACAGTTTTTTACATGTAATTCATAATTTAATTTTTTACCGCTTGACACATGTATATTTATTCTTATTACAAAGATGAGAGGTTTGCGTTAAACATACAGGTAACATTTTTACAATAGATAAAATCTTTTTAAGCATTATAACTGTTAAAAGAGGAGGGCCAATAAGGCCGATTTTTGGGCCAAAGCGTTGCACGTTTTTGATCGCATATTGTATATAATAGTTGAGATCGAGAGCTTTCCAAAACACCCTATGAAAAGCTTTTTACGTTGGGAAAAGTGAAAGTTATAAGTCCTCAAAGTTAAAGAAACACACAAAGTAACGTAATATTTTACGTTATTACTCTTTTAACGTTTTCTAAAAACTACTATGTAAAGGTGTATTATTATAAAATTCTATTGTAATCTAAAATTTGATAGATAATAATCTTTAAGGTTCGCCAGTAATAATTAATAAAAATCATTTCTCAATGGTAAAAGTCGACCAAACTGGCAATCATTTATTATAAATAATTAGTTAAAATACAACGTTTTGGCTATCATTGCAGCCCTTTTCAAATAAATCTATAAAAAGTTACATGAAAATAATTATAATTTTAATACATTTCATCGCAACAAATAATTATAAATTCATATACAAAAATATGTTACATACCAAACGTAAATGCATAATAAATTAATACAGTAAATCAAATTCACTGTATAATACCGACAATATTCACCATTGTTTGAATGAACAATGTAGAATTGACAGAAGTAAGCAAGAAATAAATAGATAAAAAAAGTAAAATTTTTCTCTCGACCGTACTGGCAAATATTATTCATTCAATCACAACGTTTCGACCCTTCTTTGAGTCCTTATCAAGTGATCTAAATATACATAGACAGAGATTAATACATTAAAAAAACCAAAATTACTTCACTAACAATATTACAAAATGATAAAAAGAAAAAGAAGCGAGATTTACTTGTAAAAATAAAAATAAAATTATAATTCTAAGATGTCAAGAACGAACATAGTGTCGGTTTGACAACACGTCAAGACTCTTAGACGAGTTATTGGAGACTAAACGACCTTTATTATTTTGTCGTAGATATTACTTAGATTGTCGGTATCCTTTTGAAAATTAATAGCGTTATTATTTCCCTTAATAAAGAATATTTCAGCGATTTCTCTTTTTCTTACGTATTTTTTACTATGCAAGATAACAGGTGAAGTCCAGTCAAAATCGTGATCGAATTCAATTTTATGTTTGCTGATAACTGATAAATTACTCGAATGCATTTTGATGTTGCTGAAATGTTCCTTTACACGTGTACAAAGATGTCTTTTTGTTTGTCCAATGTATGACACGTTGCAATCCTTACAATTAATTTTGTAAACTATTTCAGTTTTTTTTATCTGTAGGCAGTCTATCTTTGCCGAGTGTGATTAAAAATGATTCGGTTTTTTAGGAACATTATGAACAACATTAAATCCGATATTTTTAAAAATTTGATCGATATCGCCTAAGCTATTAACATAAGGTAGTGAAATGAAAAGAGACTTTTCAACAATATTTCGCTCATTACTCGATTCATTCATGTTTCTGTGTTTTAAAAAATTAATCCTTTTTTTAACCCAACGATCGATTACATGTTTAGGAAAGCAGTTATTAAATAAAATCTGTTTCACGATATTAATATTCTTGTCGTGAAACTGGTCATTAGATAAAAGAATCACGTGATCTACAAGATTAATAATTGTGTTCATTTTATATTTAAAAAGGTGGTTGGAAAAGAAATTTATATATCTCTTCGAACACGTTTCCTTCCTGTACCAATTTGTTACAAGCTTTCCACTTGACCGAGAGATCGTTGTATTCAAAAAATTAAGACATCCGTCTGATTCCGTCTCAAATGTAAAAGTAAAACGGTGGTGATAGTTATTAAAAGTATCAATTATTTCATGGATTTTTGTCTTTGGAATAATAGCGAAAATATCGTCAACGTATCTATAATAAGTCGGAACATTAATACTAAGTTGACTTAAACACTGTGTTTCAAGATCATCCATCATTTCTTTTCATCATTTTGTAATATTGTTAGTGAAGTAATTTTGGTTTTTTTAATGTATTAATCTCTGTCTATGTATATCTAGATCACTTGATAAGGACTCAAAGAAGGGTCGAAACGTTGTGATTGAATTAATAATATTTGCCAGTACGGTCGAGAGAAGAATTTTACCTTTTTTAAATTCTGTCTGGCGATT